AACGCGCCTTCGTCGAGATTGGAAATACACAGAATATCGGGAGAGCTCAAAAAATGCGTAAGAACCGAAAAACCGAAGAAAAGAACACCTCCTACTGTCGTCAGTGTTCCTAGAACGTAGCAAGTGCTTCATTAAAAAATGAAGGCCTAATCAGTGCATGAATCAGACATTTAACACAACTTTTTACATTTGTATCGATTCAAATGTTGTATGATAATATCTAAAAAATTACCTCTACCACCATTCAGTGTGCTCCCTAAAATTAGACTGAATGGATGTAATCAACAATTAACTTCCTCTAACGATTTCAAAACATTTAAAACCATGCAATAAAAATTAACGAACAGTCGATGTCTCTAGCTCCTTACCTCCTTCGCAAATGAAGGCATTACCAGGCTTCAGCTGAACTCCCTCTGGACAAAAACATTGATGTCCACTCGGATTTGGAAGACAAAGATGACTACAGCCTCCATTGAGTTGAGAGCAGCTTGTTGATCCTAGCAAAATGCATAAAGCTTTAACTGTGATCAAAGTTTTGTGTAGTCAATGTCACTTTATCTAGCAGATGGTTATGCCGTGTTCGAAGAAAAAAGGGAATTCGATTCCATCTCCAAACCTTATCTGCTCAAGTATATGAATGTTCTGTATGCGCAGTCAAATATTTCAATACCGTTTGAATAGCCCTTAGTAATTAAATTGACACGAGAATCATTTTCATGGCAAAAGGTCATGACAACGCCGAGCCAACAGGTGTGCACCCACCTGTGATTGTTTTTGTCTGATCATAAATATGCACTTCCATCGGCCTTCCCATTCCGTAGACCAACACGTCACTTTGAGAAGATGTCAAATTGTACTTATGAATACTCTGATCGTTCCAGTCAGACCAGTAGAGAGTGTCACCAGAAAGGGAAAGTCCAAAGGGATGATGGTTGTAAGAAGACAAATCTAGAACTAACTCTCGGTTATTCCCTTGAAGGTTTGCCCTTTCTATCTTATCGAGTTGTGCATCGCACCAATACAGC